GTAGCGTTGTTACGTTGCATTGTTACGTTACGTTGGTTTGTAGCGTTCAACAGCTATTGAAGTTGGGAGTGAAACTTCTCCACAGCTGAGTCACTGATAGAAATCATATCTTGTCTGTAAAAAGTAACAGATTGGTTTGATTTGTATTTTGCATTTGTGTAAAATCTTTCATCGTGTCTTTAAGGTCCCTGTAATGATGTTGATAAAGAAATGTTTCTGTCGACCCCAGTTAACGTCCTTCTACTCTCCAGCTTTCAAATGGTTCGGGAGCCGCACATCAGAGAAGACCAATATCAAGGCAGCCCCAAAGCATGATGGGAGCCTTGGCGGTGCCAAATCTCCAGCCCGGGAACAATCGGTGGATGACATGGATGCCTGCCTCCGTAGCCCCGGCTACGCCTGCTCCAGCCAGATGTACACACATGTGGGCACTGTGCCACGCAGCCTGTCGCAGAAGAAGAGCTGCAGGGGGCTGAAGGAGAAGAAGAAGAAGAAGAAAGAGGAGAAGGAGGAGGAGCAGAGCCAGTGGAAGGAGGGGGAGTATGTCCGAGACTCCCCTCTGCTCAGTGTCCTGTCCAGCCTCGGTGTGACCAGTCTGGACCGGACTCTGCTTGGTCCTGCAACGGCCCGGCCGCTGCCCACCACCCCGACACCCAGCCGGGCTTCACCTTTGACCTCGGCACATGAAAGCCGCTTCAATGATCCTTCAGCGGACCCCTTTAAGAGCCAGTCAGTGTCAAGGAGCAGGGATGCTTTAGAGAGGGAGCCTTCAAACATGGCAACTAACAGCCCTAAAGGGGCTTCTTCGCAGGACGTTTACGTGCCGATGGACCCGATAGCCGAAGCAGCTCGCAGCCAAACACAGAAAACCACGAAGACTGTGAGCGGCTCGCAGGAAGTGGAGCGTGTCGACAGGTGAGGAAGTACATTTAGTTATTATTACACTTTCAGATGATGATGGTCTCAAAAAAGATTTTTTTTACCTGCCCAATAAACTTCAGTTCACTGCAGTGAGATTGTTGCTGGAAGAACGTCAGTATCCTGATACTAGTCAGAATAAGGGAGATTGCAGTACTTGGATAAAGAAAAGAAAACGGATTTAGATTTCAGAAAACTTTTATAACTTCTTTCATTTGTATTGGGACAATGGTAAATTGTGTTTTATTGCAGTAGAAGATATATTTTCTAAAAGAAGAGACAAAAATACCTAAAACAAATTAAATTAAACTAAATAATACATATTATTAATTCAAAAATATAGAAGAACATTTCTAAAAACTTTAAACTTAATAATATAACCTAGACTATTTTAATAGTCATAGATTTGATTAAACAATATGATTAACAATTTTACTTCGCGAAAAAAATATAAAAAATTACAGTTTCTAATCATATTTACAAGAAAAAGGTCGTAATATTATTAGAATAAAGTCGTGTAATTTTTACCTAAAACGTCATAATATTAATATTAAAGAGGACATGTAATATTTCTACAGTAAAGAAAAAGTCTTTGTGAATAATGTCCTAGGTAATGCCTAATACTACTACTAATAAACTAATAATAACAATAATGCACCATGACAGTAAAAGAGTGGCTGTATCAGCGGACATGCGCAGTGGCTCGCTGCCTGCCCGCTGTGGTTCCGTCGGGCAGCTGGTTCTCACTCAGCGGCAGTGCGCGTCTGACGTTGCGGGAGAAAGATGTGCGACCTCGGGACCGTTGACTGTCGGACAGTCCGCTGCGGGGAGCGAGAGAGGAGGTGAGACAACTAACACGAAGAAGTTAAAAACCTGTGAACACGAAGTCAGTAAAGTGTCACTGTCAGAGGAAGAATGCGCGGAGTGTGTGAGAGCTGCTCCGGGAGTCATTAACGCTGCTTTAACGGCTTCCATCAGTCGGTTCCTGTTCGTGTTTTTAATGCTTTTAGAGCAGAAACACACGTGTCTTCGGTTAGTTTGATGCCATAAAAAGATGAAGAGCTCCTGACCAGTACAACATTTACTACACGCTGAAGTCAGCGGGTTACCGGCTGGTCTACGGTCTGTGTGTGTTATCTGGAGGCTGTTCAGGCTGAAACTGGACCGGACTGTGTGTTACATCAGAGGGGAGTTTGACCCTCTGCTCTTAGTCAGTACCAGTGATGATAAGGCTTTCTTTGGCAGAGATGCTGCAGCCTGTTTCATTTTATTATGTCTGTCTGACCTGATTAACTCTGATCTTTAGAAGCGGTTTGATACGTGACATCAGATATGATCTAATATCATCTTGCATATTAAAAGTCTTCTTCTTCTTCAGGCTGTAACACAAGACCGTTCTCTGACCTCGCTGTTGCTCCTGCTTGTTCATCATATCTGGAGTGTGTTATGTGGAGGCACATCCTCTCACCTGAAGTAAAGAGCACCTCTGATAATATCAGAACAATTATGAGCAGAACTAAAACTATAACACAATGTTCAGGTAACGTCACAACATAACGTAACTTATCTCTTAATGTAACAACATAACAACGTCACGTATTAACATAACGTCTCAACGGCATAAAACAAGTTAACATAACGACACAACAGGTGATCGTATCCATGTAACATAACAACCTGATGTTATTTCTTAATAAAGCAACGGAACGTAACAAGGTAACATATTAACTGATCTGTTTCTGCTGTCGGCGTTTCCCGGATTTAAAGTTCGATTGTCTTCCGTCTCCAGACAACATCAAACGATACCAGCTGACATTAAAGAACAATTAAAACGAACTCCTGCACCCTCTCTCTCTCTGTAATACCTCCTGGGTGGTGAGATGGCCAACATGAATTCTGTTGTTTCTGGATCTCTACCTCTACTTCTTCTTCTACTCTTTGTGCTGGAGAAATACAGCCATGCAGAAACATTGCCTGTTACGCCAACTTGTGACAAAACTACGCACCCGACTTCACTCTCTCTCAAACCAGTGAATGGAAACATGACGACAGTCTTTCCTTCACCTTCATCAGGCAGCTTCAGAACCAAACCTCCACCATTGAGGCAGCAGATCAGCATTCACCACTTCACACTTTGATGGTCGCTGACCAGAAGCTCAACTGGTTTCCGGACCTACTTAATGCTGCGACCACTTCTGTTCTGTTTTCCACTTAACGGATCAGTCGGAGCAGAAGTGGTTGTTGAGGTTAACCTTGACCTTCGTTTCATCCGCTGTGTGTTTGTGTCTCTGGTGAACTTCAACAGACTCGTCTCCGGGTGGACGCATGTAGGTGGCGTCACATTTGTTTTTGGTTATCATGGGAGCTCTTTGAACCACAGCTAGTGTGTGTGTGTGTGTGTGTGTGTGTGTGTGTGTGTGTGTGTGTGTGTGTCTGTGTGTGGATGTTGTGAGTGTGTCTCATGCAGTGAAGGAGCACGAAGTGCTGTAAAAATGTAATGCTGGTTTGGGGGAGCGTGACCCCCAGGCGGAGGGTGTTCTCCCCCCCCATCGCTGGGAACAGTTTAGTGTAGACCAGGACAACGCTTCAGAAACACACGTTAAATTAAACAGAAGAAGAATAAATCTCTCTAAGAGCTTCTTAACTGAACAAGTTGTCTGTTGAACCAGGACGATTGAATGAATCACTGTCTTGTTGCCTCTTAGAGACAGTTGTTGTTGTTGATCAGCTAACCGCTGACACACTAGCAAGCCAGGAACTTGGTCGCTAACGGGACAACAAGTTCACACAGTTTACTCAAAAGATGCATCTGTACCTTTGACTTGTGTCTGCCTCTCTTGTGGGGCACTTTATCCTTCCTATGCGTTTCCTCCAGTCAGGTCTCCTTGGCTCTACTTTCCCTCAAAGGTCAGACTGCTTTCTATCAGTCAGTGGCACGAATGTATGTGTCAAAGTTCACCAAAGTCTTAAATCGACCCCAAAAATGAATTGAACCAAATTAATTTTAAATGCTCATGTGAAAAATGCATTTAGACATTAATGGTTAAAAGAAATAACATTTTGTTTCCACTTTCACAACACACGTTTCAGCCATGTGAACGAGTCTTTTCAACTCCCATGTGGCCTCACGAGGTTGCACTTTTAAAGCTGCTCCACCTCCACACAGGTGTGTTCACTAATGTCTGATTAGAACTCAAGAACTCAGCTTGATAGACAGGCTCCTCCTCCTCCTCCTGTTGCACCTGTTAAAGACAGACGACCTTCATCGCCCTTATTGATACGTTGAGTTTTTTAAATCGTTAAAATGCTGAGCAGCTTTTTGTCCATTAATTCTGATTAAAGCAGGTATTCGTAAAGATCAGGCGACACTAATATTACAATAATAGTATTTGTATACTATTTGCAGAGTTAGATTAAAGTTGTGGCTGCTTATAGGATTGTTTCACTCTATTTCTCAGACTGTACTCGCAATAACTCCAGAGCGTTGTTTAGTCCAACAGGCAACATTTACTGAAGAATTCCCAACATGTATTTCTCTAATGAAATATTCAGCTTCAATGTATGTTTGTTTGCGTTTAGCCTTTTAAAAACATACTTTTAGACCAGAGCTTTACTTGTAATGAGGGCCAGATGAGGACATGCTGAAAGACATTTTCTCATGGTCACGAAGAAGATAGTTCATGATCTCAATAAATCAAACTTTTTTCTTTGTGCTGATAAAATCATTATTTTGTAATCAGGGGAAACAAAATGTGTGAGAAAAAAGGTTCTCCCTAAAAATGAAATCATTCAACAAACAGCTCACATGATATCACCTGATGAGCTCCATACGAGCAGCAATAATAACATGCATGAGCTTTGTGAATGTAGTCTTTTGACTGTCAGGGAGTTTCTCATGCATCATGTTTTACTTGTGTGTTCACATCTGTGTGTGTGTGTGTGTGTGTGTGTGTGTGTGTGTGTGTGTGTGTGTGT